TCCAGCCCCAGAGCTCGCCCCAGTGCCGGCTCCAGCCCCAGAGCTCGCCCCAGTGCCGGCTCCAGCCACAGTGCAGGCTCCAGCCCTAGAGCTCGCCCCAGTGCCGGCTCCAGCACCACCGCTCGCCCCAGTGCCGGCTCCAGACCCAGAGCTCGCTCCAGTCCCAGCTCCTCGAAGGCGCTTTGTTGTGCCTGCTCCTCCAGCGCGCCCTCCAGTGCCAGCACCACGTAAGCGCTACCCTGTTCAGCCCAGGAAGGGCTTCTGTTCCAGAGTATAGCCCAGGAAGGCCCGGTTCAGCCCAGGGAGGGCTCCTGGTAACCGGTTAAGCCCAGGGAGGGCTCCTGGTCCCCGGTTAGGCCCAGGGAGGGCTCCAGGCCCCGAATACAGCCCCGTAGATTTCCCCAAGGATATTTTTTGGGTTCCTCGTGTGTGTGCATCGTGACAACCACATTATTAAAAAGAGACTTCAGACACTAGGCCTGAATACTTTTACTTTTACTTTTAGTCATTTAGCAGATGCTTTTATCCGAAGCGACTTACAAATAAGAAAAAGTAATTAAAACTAAAAGCTAAAACTCTATAAATACTATATATATATATATACATGAAGCTAAAAACAAATCAAAATATTAAAAGAACAAAAGGTATGAGTATAATGATTGTAACATAACACTAAGCCAAACACCAAAAAAACAACTACATGTGTATGTACAGCAACAGCCACACACGCATACATATACATGTACATATATAAATACATTCAATATATATAATTGCATTTCCATTTTGTATGTTGAAGTACTGAAATAACTCAAAATAAATAAAACTAAATAAAAAGCCTATATAGACATAATAAAAAACTAATAAAATGACAACATTACTACAACTGTAACTAAAATAGATAACTAATACAAATCAAACTACATTAGTTTATCAGTAATCCTAAAAAAAATAACACTGAGCCAAACACACATGCTAAAATAACAACTTACTGACACATAGTAAGAAATAGTTATAAAAAAACTGAAACAGAAGTGAAACAAGTAGTAGGAAAGAGGAGAAATAAAAAGCGATACTTATGTCCCTTGCCGATGTCCCTGCCCGGTGGAGTCGCACGGTAGAGTCGATGGTCTTTACAGAAAATACAGAAATAAGAATACAGAAATTTTTTTCACAAGTTTGTTTATTTGGAACTGTTAGATCATGCCTCCATGCCAGAAATATCAGATCCATCCCCGGACACCAGATCCTGTCAGAAAATATCAGTTTTGTCTGGTAACAGAACAACTAGTCAGCAAAGATGTTTAATACCCAAACCACAGCAAGTCTTGTCTGTTACCCAAAACCAGTGTTTTGTCTTATAGGCCTACACAGAACGTATTAACAGTCTTAGAGTAGTGAAGAGCAGAAGCAGGAGACAAAGTGATGATGATAAAAAAGAAGCAGAGTTTATTGAATAGTCTTAGTTGCGTATGTTTCAATGCTTAGGCTTCATCTGACCAGCACAAATCCAACAAGTGTTATTATACCACAAGCAATAGCAATGGAAAATTACTGCTTCACAACATCTTCTCTTGATGTTAAAAACCTTGAAGTGGAGGCATTCTCTTATCTCTTAACTCATGAACACGAATATACCTTGAAACCACACATCATAAGACTAAACAACAATGGAAAAATAATAATAAAACAATAATATAAATGACTAATCAATGTATAAATCAATGAAATTAACATGTAAATGGCTTAAAAGTATTATTATAAATGGTTAAATGATTAAATAGAATAATTAAATGATTCAATTAATCATTTATTATAAATGAAGAATAAATTATAAAAAAGAAAGTAAAAACAACACAAATGTCCCTTGAAGCAAAACACACAGGTTGCAATGAAAAAAAAAATCTTTAGAACATTCAGAACCCGTCTTACTGAACTGAACACATATAATTGCAGATAGGCCTACGTTCTCATTAAAACACAGGATCAATAATGCAAATGCTAATCATTGTGAATTTTGATTACAAAGCTGTTTAAGATTTAACTTTTAGAATCATTAACACATCTTAATGCACTCTGACATAACTAAGGCAGCAGAGGTTGAGTGGGGTTTTCATTTGTATTCTGTTTCTCTGTATGACTTTCTACACCACTTTGGCCATCACAGTGTATCTCTTCATACCCCCTTCTTGACACAAAGTTAGAAAAAGTCCTTCTGCGTTTCACTAAGATGACAATACCTGCCACCACAATTGCGATAAAAGTCATTACACCACAGACCAGTCCAGCCTTTTCACCTCCTGACATCTGGGTAGAGAATGTCTCGAACGTTCCGACCATTTGATTGACTTCACCAGGTTTTGACAGTCTCCATTTTTTTGTTTCTCCAACCCTCAGCCAGGCCCGATCACATTCTGTCATCACAGCTACAGTGTTTGTCGCCATCATGTTGACCAGAGGTGGTCTTGTGAATGGTGGGAGGTGAATAGGTTTTAACTGGCCACCAGTAAACTCACCTGATTGGACACAATACAATACCTGACAACCATCGCTAATGGCAGCAAGGTGTTGGCTGTACTGAGGTGGACAACGGTATTGGTCCCCTGCAAGAGGGTTGCCAGATCGACAGCTAAAGAAACCCCCAAATGGCACAGAAGATACTGTTCCTGCCTCGTAATCATTGCTCAGACAAATCCTCATACCATTAGTCAAAAATGTTTGTGCAAAGTAATTTGGAGGACAGTCATGAGATTTGGTTAGTGGGTTTTGAAAAGATGGTCCAAATAGACCTCCAAAAAGGTATCCAGAGTATTGAGGGACTGTCTGACTTGTGGAACACCAGTAAGTGTTGATTTGTGCCTTACGGACAAAGTAAACATTTTCACATACATGTTTACAACAATCCAAAACTAACCAGCATGAATGACATTTCTTATAACACTTAGATTTACTGTAAACCTGCTCTACTGTCTCAGAGACTAACAAAAAGCTAGTGTACGGTTGGCGGCATGTATAATCACCAGTATTTGGATTTTTTTGTGCAAGCTCGTCACAGATGACATTTCCATCTGCCGAAGGAGTGCATATTTGGTAAACACCACCAAAGGTCAGATTTGTGGCTGGCTCCTCACAAGATTTGCTGTTCACATTGGCTTGGAAGTTAAAATTTGGGGAATTTGGATCTACACATCCTGGAATGGTGTTTATGTTGTAGTAACGCACTGCAGCCTGTTGGACTGAAAGGGCAAGCTTATGTAAAGTTGGAACTGGAAGATCAGGAAACATAGATGGATTGAGGAAATAGTGCAGTGGCACACCAGACCGGTCTATAGCCACTAGATTATTTTGAGTGCTCTCAAAATAATCTAAAAAAGTGAATGCCTGCTGATGCAGAGACAGAAGACTTTTCTGACTGACTGTTAGAGACATAAGACCTTTTTATATAGTCCGCTTGGACCAGAATGGCCCCGGCATCAACGCTTGTGATGACATGGGTACCATAATCAAGTATGAGTTTCTTTGATAGATAAGTTGCTAGGCGTGTTTGATTGTTCTCAGTAGCATCTGCGATTTCCCCAATCTGCTGAGCAAAGTGAGAGTTCAGAGTAAAGTCAGGATATGCATTCACGGTGTACAGGTGACTGCGCACCTGAGAAGAAAAAGAAGAAAGATAAATACAATTACATCTAAAATTAAATCCTTTTCCTGGTAAATTTAGATAATTGTTTTTTTTTTCCTGAAACTGAAAAAAATGTCTTGTAGGAGCAGCCAGGTATAATTTTTTTCTCTTTACAGTAATAAAAAAAAAAGGAAAGCAGTTACTACATGTAGCAGCAGTTTACGACACAACCCATATATTATGTGTTCATATTAATAGTAGTCAATTCAAAACATATCTTTGAACAGACTCATTTTGAGATGATGATGCAAAAATAAAATAACCAGACTTTGATGTAAATTAAACTGAACGTGAGCGTGGCGTTAGCAATTGAACTTCGCTTGCATATGCATATTGTGATTTGACAAATCAATTTAATTTAATTTATTTTATTTCTAACAACATATGTCAGACTCATGGACTTTTGTTGTGTTTTCTTGCCTTATGTGCCCGTGACCTAGTTTTCCCTCGTGTCTGATTGTGTCATTCTGTTCACCTGTGTTTTATTAATTAGCCTTATTTGCCCACCTACTTAAGTTCAAGTCTGTTCATTCTGTCTTCGTCTGGTACTGTGAATGTTGCCGCTACGTGTGTCTCCTGCCTGCCTTCTGTAAATTACCCTTCTGTGGATTTATTAAAGACTATTTAACTTGATCTTCATCTTCGTGCATGTTTTATAGACCACATTTTGTGAGAACATATATATATGTGTGTGAGACCCTGGACAACAAAACCAGTCATAAGGGTCAATTTTTAGAAACTGAGATTTATACATCATCTGAAAGCTGAATAAATAAGCTTTCCATTGATGTATGTTAGGATAGGACAATATTTGGCCGAGATACAACTATTTGAAAATCTGGAATCTGAGGGTGCAAAAAAAAAATCAAAATATTGAGAAAATCGCCTTTAAAGTTGTCCAAATTAAGTTCTTAGCAATGCATATTACTAATCAAAAATTACATTTTGATATATTTACGGTAGGAAATTTACAAAATATCTTCATGGAACATGATCTTTACTTAATATCCTAATGATTTTTGGCATAAAAGAAAAATCGATAATTTTGACCCATACAATGTTTTTTTTGGCTATTGCTAAAAATATACCCAAGGTTGTTTGTTTGTGGGTCTTTCTGCCTTTAGTTTTGTCTTCAGTGTGCAGCTCAATTGGGTTGAGATCAGGAGATTGACTTGGCCATTGCAGAATATTACACGTTTTTTACCTATAAAAACTCCTGGGTTGCTTTTGCAGTATGTTTTGGTTCATCATCCATTTGTACTATGAAGCACCGCCCAATCAACTTTGCTCCATTTGGCTGAATCTGGGCAGACTGTATATCCCGGTACACTTCAGAATTCTTCCAGCTGCTTCTGTCCTCTGTCACATCATCACAGTAACCCAGTGCCTCTGGAAGCCATGCATGCTCATGCCATCACACTGCTCCACCATGTTTCACATGATGTTGTATGCTTTGGATCATGAGCTGTTCCAAGCCTTCTCCAGGTTGATCTTAATTTCAGCCATCCAAAGAATGCTTTTCCAGAAGTGGTCTGGCTTTTTTTTAGATGTTTTTTGGCAAAGTCTAATCTGGCCTTGTTTGCACCTAGTGGTGAACCCTCTGTATTTGCTCTTGTGAAGTCTTCTCTTGATTGTAGACTTTCACAGTGACAGGTCTACCTCCTGGAGAGTGTTCTTCTCTTGGCTGGATGTTGTGAAAAGGTTTTTCTTTACCATGGAGAGGATCCTCCGATCATCACCACTGTTGTCCTCCGTGGACGTCCAGGCCTTTTTATGTTTCTGAGCTCACCAGTGCGTTCTTTTTTTCTCAGAATGTACCAAACTGTTGATCTGGCCGCTCCTAATGTTCCTGCTATCTCTCTGATGGATTAGTTTTGTTTCTGAAGCCTAACAATCGTCTGTTTCACTTGTATGGAGAGCTCCTTTGACCGCATGAAGTGGGTTCACAACAACAGCTTCCAAATGCAAATGGCACACTTAGAATCAACTCCAGACTGGGGGAATCAGTGACCATGAAAGGACTCGCCCAGGTAACAGTTAAGTTGAATGGACAAACTAAAAGACTGCCATTGTATATGGTCTTAGGTGACTACACCAGTAACCCAGTGCGACTGGAAGCCATGCATGCTCATGCCATCACACTGCTCCACCGTGTTTCACAGATGATGTTGTATGCTTTGGATCATGAGCTGTTCCAAGCCTTCTCCATACGTTTTTCTTCCCATCATTCTGGTACAGGTTGATCTTAATTTCAGCCGTCCAAAGAATGATTTTCCAGAAGTGGTCTGGCTTTCTGAAGTCTAATCTGGCCTTGTTTGCACCTTGTGGTGAACCCTCTGTATTTGCTCTCGTGAAGCCTTCTCTTGATTGTAGACTTTAACAGTGGCACACCTACCTCCTGGAGAGTGGTCTTCACTTGGCTGGATGTTGTGAAAGGATTTTTCTTTACCAGAGGATCCTCTAATCATCCACCACTGTTGTCCTCCATGGACGTCCGGGCCGTTTTATGTTGCTAAGCTCACTAGTGTGTTATTTTTTTAGAATGTACCAAACTGTTGATTTGGCCCCTCCTAATGTTCCTGCTATCTCTCTAATGGATTTGTTTTGTTTTTGAAGCCTAACAATTGTCTGTTTAACCTGCATAGAGAGATCCTTTGACCGCATAATGTGGTTTCACAGCAACAGCTTCCAAATGCAAATGGCACACTTAGAATCAGCTCCAGACCACACTCAAGGCCCAGAAACGTAATAAGAACATCATTAAAAAAAGTCCTTGTGACATCAGTGGTTCAACCTTATAACCTCATAACATTACGGTTAAACCACTGATGTCACATGAATTACTTTATCGATGTCCTTTCTACCTTTCTGTGCCTTGACTTCCAAATGCAAATGGCACACTTTTGATATGAAACAAAGTCTCAGATATCAAATTCTGTCCATTTTATTAGGAATTCAAGCAATAAATACCGTTTTGGCGCTCTTTAATGTGTCGTGATAGATCGCTGTAGACACCTCAGATCAAGCAGAACTGATCATTTCTTTCGCTTTACTAGTGGGTACTCGCCCGTAATTAAACGCATAGCAAAAGACTGGTGAGAGTTTTATTTTTGTTCTGGTGCTGATGATCCCACGGTCTGCTGCCACACTGGAGCGCACTCCTATGGGATTACATCTTTGCCACAATTCTGCCAGCGAAAGATCATATTTTGAGCATGCAAAGGTGCGTTTTGCACGCGCACAAACTGAGTTTTGTGGAGAAAATGTTTGTCTCGCAAAGAAGAAAGTATTTAGAGCGCACGAAAATCAATTTTGCATTTAAATCATTTTTTTTCCAAGCACATTTTACCAATTCCAAACGACATCAATCTTAAGAACTATTAATCTTGTATTTAATCATTTATAATTGATATATAATTATTCATGAAGGCTGGAAGTGAAAAATGTCTTATATTCAGGTGTGCATAATTATTGTGCATAATTATTTAGCAGATTTTCTTTTACAGATAAAATGAGCCAAAAAAGAGATTTAACTCAGACTGAAAGTCAAAAATTATTAAATG